ACGTTTCAATGATTTTGTGATGTAAACATAGTGGCTGATGTAGAAGGTCGTCTACATGTATACTGCTATAATTTAACGATAAGACTATATAAGATTGTATACGTTGAGATAAATTTCTTTTTCGAATCCTTTAAAAAATATTTGTTCCCAACTCAACAAAATATGGTAACGGAAAAAAAATGATAGGGCCAATTAGACTCTGCAGAATTATAATTATATTGTGTTATAGTTTTTTTCTCGTTAGCACTCTTTTTCGTTTTGTTCTATCATAGTTATTAAAATACTTTGCAACAGAAAATCATCATTTTACTTTTAAAAGTTTATCAATTACGATATAATTATGTTACACAGCGGAAATAGTTCCTGAAGTTTTCGCGTTTATATGAAATTGCGTACAATTAATTTTTCAATTGGTAGATACTTAGGGCACATTAAAATTATAAACTTACTTTGGATTACACGTCAAAAATACAAAATATTTTTCACCAGCCTATATTAAAACCAATAAATCTTTATATTATGTAGGTACCTATATAGTATAAACAACTCACTATGATTAGTGTATTTGTAGGTAGGTACGTCATACGTATATGTGTGCCATATGAAAGTTCTAAAATTTACAAAAACTGTTATGTTAGTTATTATGTTCCATATTATTACTAAGCTAGGAAAATATTTTTACAATGTACATATTATGTTAACAATACGAGCAATAGTTCACCGAAAAGAGAAACAATTTAGTACCTATTCGGTTTAAAAATGGTTTCCTATGTAGGTGGGCACTGGGCGGCTACATTATGTATACTAAGTATCAAAATAGTTTTATTTAAATGTACTGGTATAGATTAAACCCACTATTTTACTCTCTTTTTTATTATTTATTATACAATTCCATGCATTTTTAACAACCGAGCAATAAAAATAAACATTTGAGAGCGGGCTGTGTTTTTTAAGGATTGAATTACCCATATGAATAACGCAGGTTCTTCTACTTGTGGGAATATAATAATTTATATCTTATACTCCATCGGAACATGGCTCATGTGGCGACTCATAGTTAAACTTAAAAGAGTGACGTTTGGAAAAGATTTGAAATATTTGTGATGTGCAGTCGTCACGCAACGCAATGCTGACACATCACATGTGTTTCCAGTGCATATAATATCGTATGGGTATTCGATATTAATTATACATCATTAGTATTTTTATAGTCATCTAAAATGTAAATAATGAACTCAACGAAGACCAACATGTAGGCCAAAAGCGAAATATTATGCTAAATTAAAATACTTCAGCATAATATTATTACTTATTTTATGTTTTGTTAAGGTGAATAAAATATTATTTTTTTTAAATATATCGTTCTCTTGGGTACCCAAAACCGTATACCTATTAATAGTCTTGTCAAAATAGCTTACGCTGTTTAACGATATTATGTTAAATTTATGTTATTATATTTTAATGACCACATACCATGTACACTCTTTGGAAGTGAAAAATCATCGATCTTTAGTGCGCTGTTGGGTGAAGTTACTTTTTAATACTAATAAAATTGCGTTGAATAGTAAAATACTATACATCAAAAAGCACTAATAAGTTTATTTTTTGTTGCCCAAAGTATTATTTTACTACCTACCCTTCTAAGTTCTAACTAAAAAGTAAGTGTTTAAAAGTGTTTAATAAATTTAAATTTTAAACAGTGCGTGAGCTTATAACCAAACGTATAAACAGGGTGTTCCACGGTTTTAAATGCGATGTGGTTAAGTAGATTTCTGGGGATATTAATTTATTTAGCAGCAATTATTTGTTTATAATATGGATATAATTATGACAATTGCATATTATATTTTTTTAGTTGGTCCTAAATATAAATATTATGTAATTTACAATTGCCTTATATTAATTATAAAATTGGTAAAAATAATTAATAATATAATATAATATAATATATATATATATTATATATATATAAGAGATTTAAAATTCTACATTTATGTAATGATTCAAGGTAATCATATGAGCAAGTTTTAATTAGGGTAATTTGTCCATACTATGGTTATAAACTTTTATAGTTGTTTTACTATAATCAACATGAAATAAACATGGTGAAGGTACTTACGTTGTATATTTTGTGGTCATACACTAGATGAGAAAGAGTCTTTGTAATTTTTATTTTAAAATGCATGACTACAATTGCTGAATCTCTCAAAAGAAGTGTTACATTGAAAAAAATGCTTCTGCAAAGTAACTAATTGAAAAATGCGTAATTCGTAGAATTTAATTAAAATACCTTCGTTATTTAAGATACAATTGAGTTACTTTAACACACAACTTCTACACAACTATTAGATTCCAATGTTTTTTTAAATAACCATGCATTTTAGATTCTGAGCGTAGTGAATGAATGTATTGATTTTACAATGATGTGTGGTGTTTTTTGTGTTTAAACTTTAAAGACATATTTTACATCATTTTACAGTAGAAAAATGATATAATTATCAACATTGATTCCCCAATGTTTTTTTCTTGTAGTAAAATGGATTTAGTTGGTAGTGCAAAATTGAAAATTCTCAGTAATTTTTAAAAGAATTGGAAGAAACAAAAATTAATACAAATTAACACTTAAAATCATTTATCATTTTCGTTATAAACTACTGTATTGTTTTGTTTTTGGTCTCTAAGATTTTTCTAATTTAAATAGTTTTTGTTTTTTAGCACATATTATTATATTTCAATTTTTGACTTGAAACTTTCATTATATCAATAACTACTGTACATTATTCTTTAAGATTTGGAGTTTAAGTCCATTAATATGATTAACCAAATAAATAAATACAATGTAATAGCATATAATTAAGCGTATATAATCTAGTTCCTAATACAATCTAATAATAATATAATGGTATTAGTACATTAAGATTGTTATTAAAATAACTTTTTGGTAACATTGTTTAACCAAGAAAAAGTTGGACCATCTTCGCTCAGATAACTACGTTTTTTTTTTATCGTGTACAATGATTTATCATTGAATTAAAATTTTAAACGTCATCCATTACGGTTCCTATACTTAATGACATGGTACACTCGACTCCCACAACTGTGTAACAAAACAGTTATCTACGATTTCCTCGTTTTTTTATTATTGTTTTTTCTTTGGTTTTGTTTGGAATCTTACAATTTTTAGTAAATAAAAAAACCTTACGAGCTTGTTTACGTGCAAAAAATTAAGTTTGTATTTATAATTTTATGGGAAATTTTCGATTTTCGGATACGAATATCAGGCATAATATATAAATATTAATGAGACATAATATCTGCGTTTCTCAGAATTGTTGTTGCCATAAATTATGTTTTAAAGTAAGTTTTTGAATATTGCAATACCTATAACTTCTAACTATAACAATTACAAATGTTCCTACAAATGTACTACCTATCTGTAGTACTTTTGAAGTAGATGCATAAGAAATGCTCATATTTAAAATCAGTAAAAAGCCTTCAGCTTAATGAAGATAAAAAACAAATATTTAATAATGTCCAATTCCCTAAGCACTTTATTAGCTTCGCCATAATTTAAAACTACCACAGCCAATCATCCAAATAATCAACGAACTAAACGATTGCGTAAATACTAAATAGAATGTTTGTTCATTTCTTGTGTGGTTTCCTGGAAATTAAAAAAGAGGACCAAAAAATCCGAAGGAGCTACTGCAGTTAACCCCGATTTGGAATTATGACCCTTTATATCAGACTACGATTCACAAAATAACAATCAATCCAATAATCCATTATGGGATGGCCAAATCAATGGTTTGATTTAAAAATAAATCAATTTAGAGAGATAAAAATATCAAATACTCCACCACACGGTGATCAAAACCAGTCATTATATCAAGGAAATACGAGGTTAAATAAACTACACTTGCGTCACATACGGACATCTCATGGTCAGATTTCAGTGCATTCGTCTCAGTGAAACACATAAAATATGTCGAATACCGACGATAAATCGAATCAAACCATGAAATATATCAACTTCTAGAAACTTAACGAGAAATCCTAGCACCTTCATCGAAAGCACTCAATGCACTCATTCAAAATGTGTATAAAACAATGGAACTGGTCAGTGATCCCCGTCAACCAATTTGATTTAATCTTAAATTAATAGGTATGTAAATAATATAGTCTTATTGGCTACTAACCTCTCCGCTGATGCCATACTTTTATAGGTGTATAAACAATAAATAAATAATATTTAGTAGTTAATCTCATTCGAAAATACCAATCAATGAAATATAATAGGTAGGTATTCAAAACATAAAACCATATTTAGTTTTATTACATGCACCTATCCCAAATTTCCAAATAACTAATTTATTGCAGTAAAGTTATTCGAAACTGCATACCTATTATCAATGTGTGCGATAATATATTTTATAAAACTTTTTAAATATATTTTGATCCCATCGGAGGGATTGGAGTTTTTATGAGAAAAAAATAATTATTTTAATTAATAATTTATTAAAATATAAATTAACTACATTATTCGAGTGTAATGACGGATTACATTCACATAACTCAGAACTGGATTGAAATGTGTGCCAAAAAATGTTTGCTACCTATTAATGATTTATTTAAAGATTATTTAATTTAAAATAATCGTGAAGCTGTGCACTGTGATGATAACATTTTTCAACAATAATATAAAAGGCTTTTCCTAAATTATGTTGGTTAAGGTTATTACTTTTGGATTTTGGCAATGAATATTTTTGGGAATTTGAATAAAAATGTACAGTTTGGTTTCCGATGAAAATTTTTCCAGTGGACATAATATAACGCGTTAGGAAGTTAATTATTTTTTATTGTACTGTATTATTATTATTGAGAATGATTAAAGTTATTCGAAAGATTATACTACTATTGTTGAGTATGTAATATACGAAGCACTTAAGAACCTATGTTTAGTAATCAATTTAAATAATCTAATTAATTTTTTTTCAGAAATGAGCATGAATAAAGAGATTATTGGATTACTATATGTATGCGAATATTTATATGTCGTCGTTTGTGATTATTTGATCGATCCTCATGAGTTATTAATTCACCATGTAAGTATGCGTTATATAATTTGGTAATGCCCTCCCCCGAATTCGAGCACGGGTTGTTCGTAGTATTATTTCGTTTATGGTGAATATATAAGAAGGTCAAAACACGACCCCACAAAAAGATCTTACCGACTTGTTATCTCTCACAACTTTTGCCGATTAAAATATGTTCACGGAAAATAAAACAATATTAAATAATATAAAATAAAAAGGAACCTTTCATTGTAAAATGGACAGTAATAATTTGGCACTTGCTCTATGTAATATCTGAAAGCTATATTATATACAATAATATGACCTTCTTGTATGCGGTAAACTTATGCACAAATCGGATAGTAAAAAAAAGGAGCTTGAAAAACGCGTTGTGATTGGTATTTGGCGGTGCACCCTGTATTTGTAACCAAAGTTATTACATTGGTCGCAATTACAAATTTTTAAATAAATGTTGGTAACAAATAATAATATTGTATTCACATCCGGAGACGACGAGGCTAAATATTGTCAAACATTAGTACATAATAATTATTGTTACAGTTTCAGTTAACCTCTGTAGATGAGGTACTTCATCCTAATTGTAAATGGAATATCTAGTATAATACGGCTATATAATAATATAATTATTTACTATATGAAAATCTAGTGTTTTGATATCATAATGAATACTAGTCACATAAATCATTTAAAGAGGATAAGTACTTTTGACGGTTTGGTCATTGTTGTTATTTCTATTCATTTAGGTACCTGGCTATATGTACCTACCTATATTGTATACATGCTTAATAATGCACCTACTATACTATTCGCACTATAGTTAAAATATATGCGTCGTCACAGTAGTTTTAAACAATTTTTACTTTAAGCTTAATAATGTGTTTAATATTGGTTTTTATAACATTACAAAAATATTGTGTTTATATTATGTTTTGAAAATGTGTTCAACGTAATATGTAAACAAAAACATAAAATTATAATTGAAACTATTGTTATTTTAATGTTCAAAATATGAACATTAAAAATATAAATATTTAAAATCAACGATAAAATAAATGAGACAGTTTTGTTTATAACTTATAGGTCAGTTAATATCATTATAACATAACAATATTTACCTAAAAGCAACAGTTTACAATGAACGCAATGCGTTATTTCGTTGTTGCATGTGGAAAAAAAATTACAATGTCAATAATTATTTTAGAGTTTTCTATATTAAAAATACTTTATTAACAATATATAATATACAGGGTTATTCAAAATGATTCATCCGATTTAAAGTGCTTATATTATTTTATTTTTTAGGTTTAGAACAATATGTTATACATTAAATAAAATAAAAATATGTCAAGTTTAATTAACTGCATCTAAAAATGTTCTATGTGAACTCCTTTGGTTACACGAATAACATCTAGTCGGCAGTCAAGTTCATACCATACTTTTTGCAGCATAGACTCCATAGCTGTTGTTATTCGGTTTTTAAATTCATCTAGATTTTATGGCAGTGGTGGCATGTACACAGTGTCTTTAAAATATCCCCAAAAGAAATAATCACAAGGCGTCAGATCTTTATAGCCATTTTAAATCGGATGAATCATTTTGAATAACTCTGTATATCTTTTAAAAATATTTGTATACGTAGTCAGTAGTAATACATAACGTCATTATTTTACTATAATAGTAAATTGATAAAAAAAAGTAAGTAGCTTTTTCTATTGTTTTCCAATTTTGAGTAAACACACGCAAAAAATATATGTTATTGGTACATACATAATTAAGTAAAGGTGGTTTAGAATGTTTAATGTTTATGAATTAAATTGTATTGTGTGTGTTTGCTATAATTAATGTCAACTTAGACGTTATAAATGTGTGGGTTAGTTTTATATTACTTTACCGAAGGCACCATAATATATTATCATACATAAATATATTATAAATAAATAATTAAATATGTACCATCGAATGTTATAAATAAATACAAAAGAGCATATTAGACTCGATAGAAATAATAATTGAAATCATCAAATGCAGATAAAGGAATTATATTGTCGTCGATATCAATTATAATGTCATCGAACAACAATTGTATTTAATACTTGTCGTTTCACAGCAGCGTAGGTACACATTCTGTCTCCGAAAAACTGCATACACAATTACACAATTTGCAAAACACACGACCACAATTTCATCTCATCCATTATAAATTGTCATGTTTTCGCATGAATTCCTTATCCTAGCCAAATGTTTTTTAAACTCTTTTTTTGTCGATACATTTCATCATATTTTTCGAATAAAATCAAAAAAAGTGTTGGTACCTATGGTTGGTTTATATCGAAATACATGTGCGTGTAAAATAATAATTTTTGATTTTATAAACTTTAATTATAGGCATATTCACTGATTGGTAGGATTCCATTGTAGCGTGTAAAATCTTGAAAATACAAAATTATTTAAAAATTACCTATTCATTATACCTATATGATACAGAATCGCAAAATACTTATAAGAGGTACAATCTACAAACCCCTATATCGGTCATTATTTATTTATTATTTTATTTATACAATACACGTTTTCCTAAGTACACATTTTTTTTGTATTCACAAGGTTTTTCATGCATTCATTTATTTTAATTCATTTTAAAACTTAACAATACAAAATACAATTTAAATACTGTTTTTTAATAGTAGTTACCTGTATTGGAGTGTAAGATAATATTATAATTTACCTAATATTAAATTTTTTTAATAAAGTAACAACCAAATATAAATTCTATTAACACTTAAATGTAAATTTGTATGTCTAACCTTTCTCTAAAAACAAATTGGAAATAATTAATTATTATTTTTAATTACATGAAGTATAAATACTGTTTAAATACCAAATTTCATGTTATGAAAATTAATTTAAGAAAGTCTAATTTGTAAGTATTTATCATAGGGTGTTACCACTGGGTATCTTCCCTAATCTAACTAATCATATCATATTTTTACCTTTCTTATATCAAACCTACTTATTGTACAAAAAGCATGTATAGATTGTAGATTTCTTCAAATAAATAAAAAAAAAAAAAGTATTTGTGTTATTAATGTATAGAATACCCACTAAGTATCGTATCATTATTTTATTTCCAAATATAATTAATAGCAAATATCTGGTATTAATTTTTAAATTAAAACGACCACAGTAATTAATCCCTTTTTTTCTCCCCGTAGAACCATGGCGAAAACGACGTGAATCACTATTCAAATGTATGGTATTTCCATTCCACTGATGATCTGAATGATATACACGAAACCATAGTACAACAGGGATTTTCGTTTGCAGAACCAGTGAGATTAAAAAAAATTTAATTATGATTAAATATAATTAACTATGTACACATCAGCGTACAGTGCGCAACACATTTACTAAAATATAAATTGTAATACTCGTGTAACGTAAGCAAAATTATTCGTATTTGTTAGGCCTATAATTTGTTAAGCGTATAAGAGGAACGTTAAGTATTGGAAGGTAATTAAATTTATTAAACTAAAAAACTAACGTGAACAATGAACATAAAATTCAAATTGTACCTATATAATTATATTTAAAATTCAATGTAGGTATGGTATATTTAATAAAATGTATGAAATACATTTTGCAGTGTACTTACCTGTCCTAACTACGTTATTATTATGGTTTCATAAATTATTGCACATTCATAAAGCTAAGCTAATCAAATTATAATCAATGATACATATTATTCATGCATATTAACGTTTAAGGTTTTCTGTATTTACTGTTGGTTAACATAACGGACATCAAAGAAATACAGTTATAATTAAAATTGTGATAGGTACTCGACAAGGTAGTAAGTAATGATATTTTTTTGTTAAGGACGTTTTGTTACGTTTGAAAACTTGAGTTTCTATACATAATATTTTGATAGTGATAATATTGCAATAAAAATTCAAAGAATAATTATTGTATTATTTATATTATTTTTAATCACAGCCTTATATCATGTTTATATTTTTAAGTAATCAATTAAATCCAAAAAAAGAACTTTTGTGGAAAGAAATTATTAGCAAATAATTATTGTGCATTTTTAGTAGTATAATTTTTCTTGATCGAAATTCGATTTTAGTTGATTATCTCTTAAAAACTTTCTATGTCAGTATTATTACCAACTGTCAAATTATTGTATGGAAGATTTAAACAATAGTTGTTAATGCGTACACATAATTATTTTAAAATGGGATATTGTTTCAATCATTTTCCAATGAACTATTTGTGCTCATGCAGCACAAATAATGTAATTTTTTTTTTTTTAGTATACAAATATTTAAAATATTCTCTAATTTTTAGCTTAATTTAAATGTTTAAAATTGTTGAATAAAACGAAACTGTATTAGGTAGATGGTATACCAAATGTTTACAAAGTGAAAAGAGAAGACCATCCAGAAATCCATCACGAGCCATTTGATAACACAACTAACATTTTAAAACAGAATAATAGGGTATGTATTATATACACAAATAATTATAATATTGTCGTATTTATTTAGTTGTTTTTTAAATTACAAATAAAATAGCTCAATAATTGTCTTCATTACTATAAAAGTCACACAGGGCTATCTTTGTTTTGAGTTTTTTTTACTACCCCGTGAATTGGGTTTTAAATTACTTAATCAATAATGAACACAAAATTGTTTGTGTTAAAAATTTGGTAAAACATTTTTATTCTTGCATTTTTTTATTTCTGTTATTTTGGGTCTTTATTACCAGTGTATTATAAATTAATTGAAATATAATTTTGCACAATTTTAAAGATTTATCGTAATTATGTAGATTTATATGAGGTATTTATATAATTATATTAATAAAGTGAATTTATTTGAAGAAATGTCAATTTAAAAATTACAATTTGTGTTATTCAACTTTTGTTACTAATTTTTGTATTTATCAAAACCAATAATACTAATATTATAGTGATATATAATTCAGTATTTATTTACAATTATATAATTTATAAGACTTTAAAATGTTGAATACCATACGGTTAACAAATATAGTGCGACATTTAAAGGAAAAAATAAATTATACATTTTTTTGATTATTTATTTTAAAATTTGAATTTATGCTTATAAAGTGTATACTATATACCTACTGTATATAATATAGTTATAGTATATATTGTTTTTCGCATATTAAACAGTAATTGTCGTCCTCACACAATATTTGTATACAAAACATTCAGTTTGAATTTAAAAAATTTAACATGGCTAGTTGGATAAATACATTCTACTTGAGAATTTAAAAAGCATATTATTGTTGTAAACCGACCGTTCAGAAATTTTAATTTGCAACATTTTAATTTTATTACATTGTACTTATAATAATAATTTTTCTTAATAATAATAACTATTAAAATATTTTCTAGATATTTCATTTTAACGGGTAACATCGTATAACATGTATACAATGCGTCATTCTATAGTTCATGTTATACAATGAAAATGCATATATTATTTATAAAATTATAACAAATAAATAACAAATATGATAAATGATAATATTTTTATTATTGAATTGTATTCTATCAAAATAATTCAGTGTTCGTATACATCACTTTTATTCATCGTTCGTAGATTTGATTAAAAAACGTCAAAGGACTAAAATAAATGCAAACATAGTACTATTCTCAAATGGATGTTCATATGTTATTACTTTTAATAATTTTAAGGTGACACGATTGTCAACATACTACCTACGTATTTTACTAAATAAATAATGAAATTTAATACTACAGGAATTGAAAAAAGGATAGTGGACAACTTATTATAATTTATAATTATATAGTACCAACGTCCTACATATTATCATACAGTATAGTATTGTATTTAAGTTTAATGAAAATTCTTTGAAATACTCATCACATGGTCAATTTAACACATGATAAAAGAATGACATTTGCTCAAAAAAATGTGAGATGGCCATTTTGCAAATATTAGAATGTACGCCGTATAGATCAAACCAATTTTTTGATCATCTCATATTTTCAACGAATACATTTGATAATTAAATACAAAATGTATACCTATTTTATAGGGATATACTCGGTGACTCGGTGTCGTATGACAGAAAAATATGTGATTTCAACAAATCCATATATTTTCTACTTGAAAGTCAAAACTAATGTCCAAACACAAATTTTTTTTAGTACCTAATTATATTAAATTATACTTGAGTCTTAATTTTTAAAGAGTGTCACATACCTGCCTACATTAATATAATAAATAATAACGTTAAATACTTATATATACCTATATAGTTATGAGTAATAATAATATTCATTGGTATTCTCGTTAAGGATCCGTGTATTAAAGCACTGCTAGGTACTTAATAATAGGTATCCACCCTTTTATTGTCAATAAATATTATTATACTGCACAGTTCAATCCATTATTATATACTACAGCTTATAGACTCAAAACAGCTATCATTTTTGAATTTTTTTTTTGACCGTCATCAACGACACCTCACATAATCAATTGGACACCCCTAGAAAATAAATCAAAATCGCTATTATGTATATTGTACTCATACCGTTTAATATACCATTTAATTTTTTTTCTAAGTATTTTTTAGATTAAAAATCTCCATTGTTTATATTACTGCAGACCCACACACAGATACACATTTTTAACTTAAGCTTATTTTTAGTTAATGTACTTTGGCTATTACATTTAGATCGTTCCTACAATTATTAATCCCCGTGACGAATAAACTAGGTATAAATATATCATGAACTCCACTCTGGCTAACCTATAATCCTGCATCTCAACTTCTCTTCATGTCATAATGATAATGGATTGCTAAAATTTGGTTCACACAGTTCTGCGTATAATATATGTCGATTAGTAAAATGGATAAAACTTTTAGGTGAATTGGGCTAAACAGGGATTTTCGAAAAAGTTGTATAAAAGAGTGCCGACGGACGTCCGCAGCAGATATGAGAGTTATTTTAACGACGAACTTTGGAAACTGCAGTGGTACGAGGTAGGTATAATCGTTTTATTTCGCTCATTGAAATTCATTAAATCATAAATTCATAAATCGTTTATTATTCCCTGGATTTTATTTTAATGGTATTTTTTTCTTCTGTGTGATCAGGAATCATAGTATAATATGAAAGAGACCATTATTCTTTTTTAAACACCCATTAGCTGATAAAAACTTAAAATGGTTGAGTTCAGATTAAATTCTAATGCAATCGACTAAGCACAGTAAGATCATTACAGATACGTAAAATACTTACACCCATGACCATTTTTAGGTATGTGAACAATTAAATACATTTTAATTTCATACAATTTAATATAGGTACCACCTAGGTAATAAAAACATTTGTAATGAAACAAAATTCGCTTATATTAAACATTTTAAGTACATACTTATATGATATAACTATGATAATATTTTCCTATATAGAAACGATTTATTTTAATTTTTCAAAAAAAAAAAAAAATTTAAGAACTTTGTTACCTTTATATTTATTTTTTCGATATATTACCTACCTAATAGTACATACCTACTTATTGACAAAATTATGACATGTTCACATTCACGAATATATAAATCTTCTTTAAAAAAATAATATTTTTCAGTACATGCCTGAGAAACAGCTTTGGGTCTTTTATCATGATACATTGATACCTATGTCATAACAATAATATTAAATATTATATACCTATCGCATATCCACTCATCACTCGTGAAAGCTTTTTTTGTAAAACACATTTTCGTTAAAACTTTCCAACATTTTTTGATACTACTATTACATATTATATTTCAGCAAGATTACCGAAATAATTATACCAACGGAATGTCACTAAATATGAACTTAGTACCAGTATACGAAGAGTTAAAATGCACAGGTAAAGGTATTCGGGTAGCGATTATCGATGATGGAATAGAATATACTCACGATGATCTTAAGGATAATTATGTAAGTATGTTTAATGTTATCATTTATTAATATTAAATATTATTTGGTACCTATTAATCGTTATTATTTATTTAGCGATTGTACTGATGATCACCTGTTTCTATAACAAGATATTTGAACGTTTACAAATTAACATTAAATTGATGTGAATATTATACACACCACTATACCACTATATTATGATATTATTTATATTAACCCATGCCCAAGGTTAAAATGTTGTTAAAAATTTGGTTAAAAAAATTGATTTCAAAATATTATGCTAAAACATCTTAATAATATTCACTTTGCTTGTAATTGAATGTCACGGTCCTCAAAATATAACATTAGCATGTAAAAATGTGCGCACCAATGTAAACGACAATTAGTTTATGAAAAAAACTTCTCTACAATTATTAATATTTTGTAATTCCTACTAATTATGTTTTATGCATATTATCATGGTAATTTAATTAATAAAATATCAAAAATAGTTTCTTATAAATTAACTCTGGTGGATATATGAATTTGTTGTTTATTCATAGTTTTTGATAAAATACAAAACTTTTAACACTCCCATATGTAATTTATCTTAATTTTTTTCAGACCCAGAGCAAAATTCCTCACTGGATGAATTAATATAAATAAATTAAAACACATTAGACAAATAATGTATACAGGTTTATATTTCATAGACACTGCAGTGCAATATTTTGATAGAATAGCATTATTAATCATATGAATGTTTAAATTTAATTTCGACCCTGCAGCATACGACTTCTGAGAAATACAATAATGCGAATAATGTCATAAATTTTTTATTTTCATGAAAACGTGTTAAAAAAATATTACTTTCACTAATTTATGGACCACATATCACATACAGTGTGTCGCATACAGTATAATATGGGTCTTATTAATACCTGCCAATACAATAATATATAGTATTGTGTACGATAATGTGATTATGTGTTAATACGAACACTTGCATGATGTATGCACGCGGAATATTTTATAATTATAATTTAAGGAATAATAATTGATATAGTTATAACATTTTTATGGAAATTCCGTAGCTTACGTTATCCGTCCATTATCTCGGTACCTATATTATTGCGATAAAAAATTTAATAATTATTGAAAATCAAAACCACGCGGTATGCTTCACAAACCGTACTGGTGTAAGCCGTTTTGTACCATTATTGAGCAGTTCGAACAGCATTTATGACCCTCACAAAATGTACCTAATGTACATTTCGCCCGTCTAGTACCCTACCTAGGTAGACTACATCGTAAAAACTATTTTTAGCTAAAATTCCTTAGTAATCCTTTTTGGTTTCCGGTGATAGAAATATTTTTACAAAATGTGAAGTAACCTGAAGGAACTGTACTGCACAATATGTGAGTACTTACATAATTTCGACCAACTTCCAATTGAAAAGCATTTTTTTACACCCATGACCTCTCACCTATTATACGTCTTTAAACGTCACACGACAACTCGACACTTTTAGAGTGTATTAAAAGTAGTTTTCTGGAAAAATATTTTCAGGTACCCACCAGCACAATTTATTATTATTATTATAAAAAATATTACAATTTGCTATATGTAAACATAGGTACTACATATTTTATTTTCTGATTTTATAATCGTGGTAAAACGGTGTAAAGCATATGTCTATTAACATTTTGCTCGGAAAGTTTTGAGTATACTTAGCGTATACATGTGCATTATATATTGTAATTCGTAGGAATACTTTGAACTATAAATAATATAAATATATGCATTTTAAAAGGACTTCTGTAAGTCAGAAAGAGCTAGTCATTAATATTTCATATTAAACTTTAATCACCTACAGTCGTACAAGATAGAATACCGTCTTAACTGAGTATACGCAATATCCTAAAAGATTAATTCTCGTATATTTGAATAATAATTAAATTACTAGTAAGCCGTTTATAATACTATTTGTTTGCTTATTTGTATTTTTTTTGGTTTTTTGAAAATTTAACTTTATTTTAAGTATTAATTAAAATGCATATTATTTAGTAACAATGTATGTGTTTGTAATTTTTCAATAAAAATCAAGTTTAATTTTATATTATTTATTTTTTAAATTTGTTTTTTAAAATATATCATTTCATTTTATTGTCATTTACACTATAAACGTTTATTTCAGGATGAAGAAATCAGTATCAATCTGAACTGGAATAAAAAGGATCCTATGCCTAGGTACGAAGATCCTACAAATTCTCATGGTACTAGATGTGCTGGAGAAATTGCAATGGCTGCAAATAATACAAAGTGTGGTGTAGGTGTTGCTTACAATGCAAAAGTAGGAGGTTAGTGTTCAGTTATAAAATATTATTATTTATTATAGTAATAATTATTAAAGGTTTATTAAGTTTATTTATACATTTTTCAATCTGAAGTTTTTTCTAGATAGATATACATTTTCCTTTAATAGGTATGCATTAAATGTCGTTTCATTAATCAATCATGTCGCATTATCGCAAGTAGGCATACCAGTATTACAATAACACAATATTATATCGTTTTAATGAACAACATTTCGCATAAAATATAATATGTAAATAAATAAAACCGTGATTAAATAACGCATTGAATCAGTTGGGGTTTAATAATAATAATAATAATAATAATAATAATAATGAAAGAACATTATTTTTAGTAATATAATATAAGCTATAACGCTGTTAAAATATGTTTTGGTTGAATACAATTCGAAACGTTAGAATATTAAACGTGAAGTCAATTGTGTTCCAAAAAAAAAAAAAAAACAAATGTTCTATAGACGGAAAAATAATAGTTTCAGCGTTCGTCGTGACTTTTTCGAAGTCGAACACAATGGACTTTGAATTAAGTTGTGCTTTTAGATATTTTAATACGAAATCTCAAAGTCTGTGGCACAATCAGCCGTACAACATACCAATTTTATATTAAAATATACCGATCATTATTATTAGTCTTAATGATATTATAGATATAGGTATTATAGTTATATTTCTAAAACATCGAGGACATTGTATACATATACCTACCCATTATAATAACCGTACGCCATGCAACGGTTTATTTTAATATTATTGAGGGACATTGTATATTATAACTACAACCGACCATCACATTTACATACAAATATAGTTAACGTCATTGCTGGCCAACAGACCTCGCAAGTAGGGTGTGACGGGTGCGATGAATATCATAATTTTCCACGTTTAAAGCTTAATATTCTGTGTGCAATGTCCGTACGATCAATGAGCATCAGTGAGCAATCATTATTATGTTGTGTATTTGAGTCCCGTACCTATATCATAAAATATTGATGCACCATTATAAATTACCAATATTCATATTGTATTAAATATTAATTTTAAATAAATAGTTTTGAATTTCGAAGGGCTATAATACAAAGTGGACGATATTTCCGGTATATTATTATCAGACCGAAAATTGTTTGCGAAAAAAAATTGTCCCGTATTCTTGTCTCCGAGAGTTGGTAAGCCTGGTTAGGCTGTGTATTATATATTTTCGTTAATCGCGTCACACAGTTTGCAAGTGTTGTAATAGTAATTTAGTCTTTCTACAGATATTATATTGTCAACAACTGTCTACACATAAACTATACCAAATATTTAATCTGAAGTTCATATTATAGAAGTCTAGAGTAGTCGGACTGTACGGCAATTGACGTATAAGACATGCACACGACGTGTTGATCGTGTTAATATAATAATATATTTTAAATAATATGTATTTACTATCTATATCTGTATGAAAAAAAAAATTTTTTTTTTTTACAAAATATATGATCCACAACTTTGGGTGAAAAACTAGAATGAAATTATTGTACACGAATAGCTTGGCGAAAAAGACACCCATTGGTGACACTTCATATATTTATATTATTTTATTACTATTAATATTTATATTAGTTTGACCCCACATGATTTTCGTCTTGGATGATTACCAGGAATTTAAATCTGTATACAATATTATAGTATAATATACATTCTACATATAAAAAAACCAAATTAAACTATACTATCTATGTTAAAGGATCCATGCTAATTTATTTTTAGATTATGATTTTGAGATAACATTGTTGATTAATAATAAACTTTTTTATTTATTTATTGCGCATAGGTTGTAAAAGGTAAATACGTTTGGTACTTCTATTTCTTACATTTAAACGATGGTTTAACCATTTAAATTGTAGGTGACACAAAGATCCATTTCGAAAATTACATTTAAAAAACGCTGAACATAATAGGTAGGTATGTCGATAAATGTGTTTGTAAAATGAATAATTTATCACCAAAAAAATATATAAATATAAAAAATTGGTATTGGCGTAATCAAGATTTATTTGTACTAATACACCATAGAAAATACATTTCTGAGTTAAAAAATCTCAACATCAGTGTTTTGAATTGATAGTTTTATTTTTTTATTCATATATTTTCCTTTATAATTAATTCATTTTATGTATGGATATTGTGAATTATATTTATTCTTACGGTTATTTTAATACCAAATAAAGATAATAATATAATATTTTTGCACATTGATAAAATGCTGAAATTTATAAGTGTATTATTGCGGTAGGATTTCATTGAGCTATACTATTTGATTGTTCGTGAATTTATTATTTCAAGCCACCTATTATAATTATAATTTTCTAGTTCAATTAATTCTATTACTAATAATCTCACGACTCTAATGTGATTAAACTGAGACAAAGGTGTAAAATGTACGTCATAATTATTTTATTTTATTAATTTTACATTGATTGACACTAATTACTTCATCATATGTATATATTATTCAAGTAAGAAAATAAAATTTTTTTTAGAAAATGTACAATCGTTGGTTGTTTTCGTTTGTGCGGATTCATATACACAAACCGAATATAATAATTTTTAGTATATGGACCAGTGTCATATAGGCTTCTAATAATATCCGACGTAAAAATTCCAGGCGTACATTTATTTCATTGTATTTATTTTGTATCATCCAATAGGCAGGCATAAAATGTAGGTATACTTACAGAAAAAAAATATTATAAAAACTAAAAAGTCATAATAGCAAAAAAAAAATCTTAAACATAAACTAATATTGCAAAATAAATTGAGCATACATAATATTATTTAATATACATTATAAATATATGCATAAGTACTATACAAATTAATCTAATACATATTGTTATGTTGAAAAAAAAATATTAGTTGAAATAGTTTTGGGGAGAGGGTATTTGAACTCCCATCCCAGGGATGATAATATCATCACCTTATCTACACCTTATGAATATTCCCAGATATATTATTGTAATATTGTAGAGTGGTGAAACGTTCTAGATTACCTACTTTTATACCGAAAATAACGGTGAGGATAATCAGTAATATTCAGAGCGTATATAGATCAATAGGTTTGAAGACCAATAGACTTGTAGTAAATGTATAATATAATATGTATCAGTATAATTTGTTTTAATAGTCTGGAGACGAAAGCGAATAAAAAATAAAAATTAACCGTAAACTGATGAATTTGTATAGGCATCGTACTGCTCGACGGTAAAACAAACGACGAAATGGAAGCCAGAGCCTTAATTAACGCTAATTCATTGGTGGATATATACAGTGGATCATGGGGGCCTACGGACGACGGACTAATGGTCGACGGGCCCGGAGTAATGGCGCAAATTGCATTTGAAATCGGTGCAACCAAGGTAATCGCAATACGCATAATATTATATATATATATACTTAATATTATGATCCGATCAACGGCACTGCTAACTAAAATAAATAATTTATTCAAAACTATTTGACGGGGGTTAAAACGCTTTGGGATCCGCGACGTTTCCGCTTAACGCGCTCGCAGAGGTAAAATTGTTTCGACGAGAGCTGATTACGTATACCTACGCAGCGTAAGGAATTATACAAAGGGAACAAAATAGTGTGTGCCGGTTATATTATAGGTGTAGGTACGTTACACAGTACATTATACGGTTAAAACAAATTAAAATAAAGCGTTAACACTTATGACACGAAAGTTTGTAATATAATATAGCGTTAGTATATAGGTAGGTAGGTGTACACTGTAATAGTAACTATAATAATAGTGTACCTAATATGGTACAAATTATTTTAACGCACTTCGACGCATCTATAATATGAAAATATACCAACGTGTCGTAACTCGTAGATATAATTAGTTGCATACTCGACATTAGAACCGCAATTCATCATAATTAAACTATCGCATAATATATTATTATAGTAATATAATATAACAACAGCATAACGCTGCACTAGCTAGAATTTATCAAATGCTAAACGCTTAATTATATACCTACCGGCTACCTCTGATATAGTTGAAACGCAATAAATACTATGGAGTTTAAATGGGAGTACGAGTACCTATGTATTGGCTGGCCAGCTGTTATACGTAAAGTTATGCGAAAGTTATCGTTGCATGAATGATCATTTTTCATATGTTCACACTTGTCTTTCCTCGTAATATGACCGAATGGAGTCGTAGCATACACAGATATTATGTAACTTTGTTAAATTCGCGAACAAAAACTATGATATAATTTCGGTGATACGATTAATATGAACTTATAATGGTTATCTAAACAATGTGTTGAATAATTAATCGTAGATGAATAATTTATGTACAATGCGTAAGATATTATGTGCATTTAATATATTATGACTATTATAGTTTCGCAGTAAACAAGTAACCAAATTGCAAAGGTGGGCATTAACTTTTTAACTTAACTAGTTGATTATTTATGTTTTTGACTTATTAAACTATTCAGTTAAAACTGCTATTGTTGTAACTTAATTTGTTATTGTTAATTTTCTTTTCGAGTGACATTTATTTTCTTATTATATATTATAATAATCTAATTTTTTACACAGTGTTAAACGTCTTGGTAAATGCTTCTGTAAACCAAAAAACTAGGGCAGTTTACGACTTAAATATATTGTAACTAAAATTGATCACGTCATAATATTTGTAGTTTGTACCTAGGTACCTATAATACGTACACAATAATACTTATATTATTGTTGAATATATTATTTTTAAATAATAAAACTGTCTTCTTGAATGTTTTCAATAAATTAATTTCATAGTTTCGATATAACACTTGGTTAATATAGAAATATTTTCATGTATACCGTAATATTTTCTCTTGAGTACTTCGTTTTACATTTGTATAGGTATTTTGGTCTTTGACGTTTTATTACATGAATAGCTTTGTTGTTCATATTCCTTTGAGATATTATGTTTTTTAAATTATTTTTTCTTATAAAGTACAAATCAGAATTATTTTCGTAATTTGTATATTAATTCTTTATATGTATATTAATTCTTCTCTTAAAATATAATACTCTGTATGTGATTTCAAAAAGTATTTGTAAACACAAAATATTATATTTCAAATACATAATCGTATTATCGTGTGACAAAATTTTTCGAAATCTGTGTAGAGCGTGTTTAATGGATCGCTCTGCGCATCACGACGTTCGTTTTCGCAAAGTGTCCTATTGAGATTTGCCATTGGATGTCAGGTCGACGGTAGGATAATATAAATTCCATTACCTCGGCATATTATAAATTAGTATACCGATATAATACTCGTGTGACGCTTCATCGTATGTGTTCACTACACGATATGCATTGTACTAAAATCATCACTTAATCTGGATCCCGAACTATAATACGAGGGCTTCATCGTCATCGCAAGTTCCACGGCACGAAGTACTAATCGATTGCCAGGAGGAGAAAACAATGGGAAATATAGTAATCAATCACTGCAATAATATTGCCGCGCGGTATCACCCTCAACATTCGAGAAACAATTATTATAATTATAATAATAATTATTATTACCATTTACTAGCCTTCGACCGGATTTCGTGACGTGATTCGTCTACGTGGCACGACTACTCGACTATATATTATAAGTTTTTATTTTTAATCCACGGGAAAACGGCCCTCTCCGTTATGTAATATATTATTACGCGTTTACGAGTTGTACACCTAAATACCGTACAGTATATAGTTAGTAGAAGTTCTGCACCGTTGGCGGACACCCAAAAACCCGTGGTCCCCGGAGAAAGGCCTCATCCTGTGTGGCTGCGTGGGACTGCGATTGACCGAATTGTTTTTACGGCCGAAATATTATTACACACATATATATATATATATATATATATTATATAGTATATACACATCATGTACCTACATCGTATCGTATAACAGTGTTTATATGTATTAGTTGTAGTTGTTCTAAAACAGCGACGTTTAAAAATTCATCGATCGATCAGTAGGTAAAGCTAGGTTTTAATTGTTAGTGATAGGATTTAGGTACTGTTGTATATATAGGTACTCAATAAAAGCTGAAAATCGTAATTTTCTTCGGGTGTTACATGGCCTAAAATGTACAAATTAAGTTAGTAAAAGCTGATTTACGGGACAAGTAAAAATTACACCGTAAAACAAATTATATAGATAAGTATATTATATATTATCAAAACAAATTTCTGTTAGTTATAGGTTATTTAAACGACGATGTATTGATTCAACCCTTGAGCTGTGTTAACCAGCTTTTACTAACTAATAATAATTTGGTTTTTAAATTCCATTTTTTTTTTGTATAACATAGGTTTTGTAAACATAATTTTATAATATAATATTATGTTTTAGTTGGCTTCACAAATTATTTTAGGTAAACTCCACTTGATTTCCGATCTATATATTATGGACATAAAATAAATAATACTAATATGTCTGTATAAATACATATCGCACATAAAATCGTACATTATGTTCAGTGTTTGACCGTCGATGTTCACTATTCGCTCGTGGCTCGTTAAAGTACCTGCCCGTCTAATAGAGTTATCGCATCGTAGCGTAAATAATAAACTATTATCACATTTCCAAATCTATCTCTAGTTTGGTGATATTTTGGTGATTATTGTTAGAATTTCAGTGAAATATGTCAGGAGTATAATATAATTTAGTGATTTAGAAAAATTATTTCAGTGTCTTAGCACAATGAACCTTAAACTGATTGTGTTTAATATATATGTACCTATAATCATGTATAGAATGGAGGCTACGGAGCACGGAAGTTTCGATAAGATCAATAGTAATCTACCGGGATTTAAAAGTTTTGTTGAAAAAATACCCACTAAGTATATTTTGTTCCGAAAAACAGGCTGGTTACAATATAATCCAGTGTTTATTATATTTTTTTCGGTATTCCTTAGTAAAAGGAGACAAGTAGTCTTATATATTAAATTTAAACAAGTATAGGTAATTAATAATTATATTATGTAGAACATTTAATAATACATGATGGATTGTACATATTATATCATTATTGTTACGTTTTTTTTTCATCCAAATTGTCTAGTTATTTTTGAGAAAACTACTGAAAACTATCAATACCTATTGCCAGTTTGAAAAATTTCGTTATGATTTTTAATTTTTACTTATAACTCCACCCCCCCCCCTACACTAAGAATAAACTATTAGATTTTATACCAAAAACAAATCTTGATATTGACAATGGAAGCATTTTTTCTGGTATAAAAAGTATTTTCACACACAAACACTGCATTAAAATTTAACATAATATCCATTACAGATTTTTATGCGGATTTAGATTGAGTTTTTAGAGTGATTTTATTGTTAGGCCAAGAATTTTTAAGTGCTGTTCGAAAATGGCTCTGAGAAGTGGGTGTTACTTTTTTATATGAAGACATATTAAATTTTATAATTTTTATAAAATATATTTTAATCTTGATGAACATTTTGATTAACTTTGTTATAAGCTGAAAAGCACTGAGTCTCGCAGAGACCGTGATCACGATCCTTAATGTATTTATTTTTCTTCGTTAAATTTAATTTTATATTTAATTAATGTACATAATATATACGAACACAATACATTTTTATCATCAAAAATTAGCTTAAAAAAAAAATGGTCCAAGCTCCTCCCCCTCTCATGAGAGCAAAACAAATTAGCACCTGTACTTGGAAATTATGATTACGTCTCTGCATATAATATGTTTATTTAATATTGTAATAGATATCTATAGTGAGTATAATAATATACTCTGTACTGCGCGTAGGTTGGTGATGACGTGAGTAAAATATGGTTTAACAATAAAAAATCAAATCAAAATCACATAAAATAAATCCGGACGAAATTCGATTATGGGTTCAATTCGGTTGTCACGTAGTCTATCTGTGAGCATTAACATGGATTTACACAGTTATGTTTCATCCCCGAAATGTGTTAAAATACAATATATAATATGATCAAACTTTGAATTTCGATTCGACTGCTATAGCACGGTTTTAATTTTCTCCCGCGGCTATCGCTGAATCCACCGTAATAATAATTCAATCGGACAATAATATCATAAGCTCTGGTTTTTTGTGTCGGTACGAGGTATACAAATATGCCGTCGATTTTTTTTTTTTGTTTTTTTTTTTATATGTTAAGGGTCGCAACGGCAAAGGTTCAATATACGTATTCGCGTCGGGCAATGGTCGTATGCAGTTTGACAATTGCGCATCGGACGGCTACGTGGGTAACATTCACACAGTGGCTATTAGCAGTGTCACTATGGAGGGTACAGCTCCCGAGTACGCCGAGAGATGTGCCGCCGTCATAGCAACTGCTTATTCCGGTGGCCTGGATAATGGTGTCAAAATCGTAAGTGCGATAACGACGGGAACAACATCAGACACTCGTCACAATATAATATAATAATTATAATGCCTATATAGTAGGAATGGTTTTTCAATTACACGTAGACGTGATATATAAATATAATATGTACTATACAGGATGTAACACGCGGCTAATTAACATACCTATATGAAAACATTTGTTATGACAATTCGTTAAATAGTCCTGTCATGGCTTATAGGTATATAAAATATATTTTTTATTTTATATACCTAGTATTAGCATATATTATTGTATTGTACAGTTGTATACACACCCACACGTGTACCCTTAAAATTACGTAAATCGAAAAAATTATTTCAAACGTGATAACGCTACAGAACGAGGTATGAGTTGAACGATATTTTATCGTTTAACCTAAATAATATGTGACTTGCGCCATAGTGCAATATAAATATTATTATAAAATATAAAGTGATTATTTTTCTTACCAAAGCGATTGAAAAATCAAAATCTTTTGCTCTATTGCATGTACTTGCAGCATATAGCATAATATGTTATATTAAGTTGTATTTTATTGAACGTAACGCTTTTAATGTGTTATTTGCAAGTAAAATATATTATTATAGTATACTCTAGAGGGTGATGGATAAATTTAAAAGGCAGCGAAAAAAGAGAAAGTCGGGGAAAATTTACATTGTTTTTGTTCACTTTTTGCAGTAGATAAGTCAAATCATTAAGCTCGGGTATATTTTAGTCTCCCACTCTCCCACATTAATTTGCTTTATACTAACATAAATCGAAACATGGTATCTTTAATAAGAATAAAAACCACGATGTATTGTACATGACGTAATGAACGTCATAAACGAGATAGATGCTTCGGACGGATATTTTAGAAGCACATTATTATGTTTAGTAAAAAAGTGAATTAATGCGTTAAAAACGATTATTCGTGTAACGTTCTAATGGATGAAATATTGAAATCTATTAAAAAAAAATGTCAATAATTTTTAAAACAATAAGTAACTGGGTTGCATAGACTCTAGATCTATTATACCTACAATAATGAGAAGGTTCTCAGCAGTAGGTATGTACTATGTACAGTTATTTAGATTCATATTATGTCGAGGTGGCTGACTGATTTTTTTTTTTATAGTTCTTGGATAGTGAAGTTAGAGAGAACGACATTATACTAGACTCTGTTTCAAAATATAATAATATGTACCAGTCGACTGACGGCCGTGGAAGCATGAATCCTTATTTCCCCCCTCCACCGGGCCACTACCGCGCACGGTACCAATAACCAAGTTGATCCCGCACACACCCGAAAATGGAAAAGTTCCGATGTGCATATTATTATACCGAATTGCAATGATACCGATTAAAGTCACCTCAATGCCACAGTATAATAGATGATAATATATATATCTCATATATACTCTGCGTGGCCATACCATAATAACAATAATATTCTAACACATTGTTAACTGTCTGCATTACGGCTATTCGAATATTCCATGTCCAGCCAATTGAATGATGGCTCTACCATGTATTGTGTAATAATAATATGTCATTGTCGTGTCAGACAGTTGGTGGGAGGTGGCGCTTGGCAGAACGAAAACCGGTGGCCACCTGGTACCCTGGTACCCTCTTTTGGAACAATACATAGTACTCAAGCGAGAGGGGTAGTAGGGGGGAACTCGGCGAGCCAGTCAGAAGAATAATCTAATCATTGTACGACTAAGTGAAATAATTTAAATTATTATTAACACGTCGGTCTGTTAATTGACAAAGGTCTTAAGTGAAGTTCATTATGTGCATTAGTGAACGGTTTTAGTTTAATGCACAATTTGGGAAATTACACGTCGAACTCGATTGAGTTGGGAGCAATTCTAAAAGGATGCGATGGACTCAGAATTGGTGAGCCATTTTGAATCAAGGGTCTTACAGGCGAAGAAAATATACCATCCCACGATTAAACAGTCGTTAATTTTGTTAAAACCTTAAAATAAAATTATGAAAAATAGAAATGAAACAAACTTAAAGTTAATCAGAGGATTTATATGGATTGCCAATAGTGCGTTGAAATACGGTAACTGTATACGTGCATTATAATATATTTATATATTCATGGAAAACATGAGAATGGTTATCAGTTTTGATCATAATATAAAATACAGAACTTCTATAGTAGTTGAATGGAAAACGTTCAAATCGTTTTACGGAAATTTGGGTTGTGCTTGTTTTTTTACTTAAAAATGTATAAACATAAATGTTAAATTGCTTGTTAAATTCAATTTCATTTGTTAAATACAAATGTTAAACACTACGTCAATACCATTATGAGTCTAATATCTCTATATTGAATATATCTTATGTCATTATACCTCTCTCAATTTTATTAAATAAAATTGTGTCGTCAAAATATTTTAGAAGTTTTTTTATGTGTAATTAATAATTATTATCTATGAATGGGCACATAAATTATTGAATTTACAATATTTACACAACTAACTATTTTAATAAGACCCTTAAAAATATAAAATCTATAGAATTAAACTAGTATTGACATTTATAAGCCACTGCTAGTTTGATAATAATTTTGTGCTTATTGTTCATTCAGATAAATTGATATAATGGAAGTAATATTTTTACCAAATTATCTCATATGAATATATTATCCATCATGATATTACATCGAGTGATTCTTAAAAAAATCTATGTTTATTTAAAATTATAATACACAATATATATATATTTTTTTCAAACAAATACAGATTGATTGTTTGGTATACAATATACATTCGTTAATTTAATATAATGAATAGGTAGTAAACTAAAATTGTTTTGCTTGTTTAATATCCTTTTCAGGTTACGTCGGATATCAATAATACATGCACGCTTTCACATACCGGCACATCAGCCGCAGCTCCACTAGCAGCAGGAGTTATAGCTTTAGCTCTCGAAGCCAAGTAAATGTTCTTATTTTTAAATTTAAATGTATTGATTTTCAATATCACGGCAAAGAAGAAAAATATTAACTTTGTGGGTATTTATTGGACAGATTCATACGATTTATTCGAATTAAGTCATGTTGAAAGCGTTCGCATCTGATAAAAGTTTTTTAATATTTATCTACTAAGAAAAAAAAATTATTTTTAATAATATAAATGTTGTGTTCGTTAAACGCTTGTAAGTAGGTACGTATAAACACTTTATCAAATTAACAAAATATATTATATTGTACCAACGTACCTATTTATAGGATATTTATTTGATGATCTCATTTTATTAAATGAAAATCCTTTTAAATTTAAATAGTTAAAATATAAATTATTTAGATTTAAAGTTTTCACTCACGATAAAACTAAACAATCTAATTCAGTTTATTAATTAAATATCCAACAAAATAAATCCTCAAAAAAAACTTTGCCAAAAACTTAGGTTTAGATTTAATATTATTACCATTATGTTTTCTCATTAATTTGTGTGTGTGATATTTTCTCGGAGATCTATGTATGATTGCCTTAGATATGGTGAAGTTAGTTAATATTGTTATTTGCTTTCAGTACTAAACCACATTAATAATAATAATAACAATAATAATGATTATTCTATTCGATGTTTTTGCATACCTATAATATAATGTAGATAAGTAATATATTTATTATGCATAATTTGCCCGAGTGTCGTATTATAATGTATTGGTATCGTATTTATTTCTAATCAAAAAAACACATAACCTCTAGAAGAGTACTTAGCCCGTCTAATAAATAATTATTTTAATAATCCGCGTGTGCAAACTCGTGACATATTTTGTAAATGATTTTTCTCATTGTTGGCCAGTATAGTGGCAATCTGACGTGGAGAGACGTGCAACATTTATTGGCGAGGAACTGTGAAGTTGCGCCTCTAGTGAAAAACCCCGGTTGGTCCACAAACGCAGCAGGATTCGACTTTAATCCCCAGTTCGGTTTTGGATTATTAAACGCCTATAAGTTAGTGAAAGAAGCTATTGGCTGGAAAACCGTACCAGAGAAAAGTATTTGTGTTAAAAATTTCCGAATCCCGTAAGTCATACAACATTTATTTAATCAGAAATACATACCAACTAATACTTTTAGTGCTACTTACAGTTAGACCGGTAAGATAGTTTTAGGGACATGGTATATTTATATATAGTTCGATTAGGAATCTAATTTTTATTTTTACTTTGATACCACCAACATTTTAAACTATAATAAATTGTATAAATAATATTTATTATTTTCAAATGGAAATATTTCTTTACTATAATGTGATAATAATAAGTTCGTTTAGTATTTTATTTCCAGATTTTTTTTTTTTTGATTTAACGAATTAAAAGCTTTGAAGAGGTAGTAAAAAAATGTACTCATAAAATAGCTAGGTATTATTAAAAAATAAATAACTCTGGAAATTTTTTATTTTATATTTTTAAATTTAATTATTTTGGTGTTCAGATAGCCAACGTTGTGATAAACAGTGTTCTACAGCAGTATTATTTTATTTATGTAGACGTTTAGGTATGCATTAAGTTGGTGCAGCTACAAATCTCTTGGAATGTCCCTTCTCAGGAATCCCTGATATTGGTTGCAATCTCGGGAAAACGTATATGACTATACATACACGAGCTAAATATTGTAACTTTTGTTTTTTTAATATACTTAAGTTACTCTTGTAGGCTGTAGCACACGTTAAATTATTCATTATTTTTTTAATATTAAATTTAATAATCGTATGATGAATTGGTCAATTACTGCAGTGTACCTATGTCTTAGGGTAAATAGATTACATTTTCAATATTTTACTTTATTGCAATGTAAATAAATGCAAACCTTATAATTAATTATTTTATTGTTAGCATATATTTATTAAAAAAGTAATACAAATTATTAAGATTTCCTTAATCATTAAATTCATTAAATAAAAATAATACACGCGTAACTAAGTTTTGATATTATAGATATTAGTGAAATTACATTTAAGCAAAAATAAAATAATTATTCAAGTTATACAATACCTAGTGTAGGTATAGTATAACACTGTAGTAAATAATATCATACTATTTTAAATGTTGAAATGATATAAACTTTACTCTTTAGTAAAAAATATAAAAATTTTGGCCGAGCCTCAAAATTTGTGTCCACGGTAATAACGAATGGCTGTAACGGATACATCAGATATTTAGAGCACGTACAACTATGTGTGACCATTCGGTATCCAAAACGCGGTATGGTCGAAATAGATCTACGATCACCAAAAAGTAAGCATTTACTCCCTGCACGTATGATTGTCTATATAAATTCTACTGTCATCTTTCTAGACACCACGTGCAAAATGATGGAGCCACGACCCTTAGACGAGTCAAACAGGGGATTTTTCGAATGGAAAATAAAATCATTGCAATTTTGGGGCGAAAACCCGTCTGGGGAGTGGACGGTTATTGTCAAAGATGAAGTAATTATAGTTCAGGACTATCATATTATAGTCTTAACGAGTAATAAAAAAAAAAAAAAAACAATAGTGAAATAGTGTCATTAGAAGTCACACTAACGGTAGGCGTACAGTATATTCCCAAATAACGAAAAAATGGAGTACAAAAAAAGATTTTAAACAAATTTCTATTGTGGGTGGGTAGTTATTTTCAAACGAATGGTTGTTGTGTTATAATCACTGTAATTAACTTTGAAAAGTATTTGAAATAAAATAAATAACTTGAAAAATACATAAATATTATCACACATTCTAATATCTTAATTTTATTATAAACTGTAACTCAATTTAAAATTTCATAAAATTTTCAACACCTTTTTAATGCCTTAACAACGAATCAAACACGTTTAAGTCATGGTATTTTTCCATTTTACCAATTTTTCTAGATCTAGGTTTTATTTTAAATATCTCATTTCCATAACCATATGGTTAAAAATGTAAGTTATATATATATTGTAATAATTGTACATAATCATGGTTCGTTAGAAAATAAAAGTATTAGGTATGGCAGTTATACGAAAAGCAAAAAAAAACCTAATAAGAAATAATAGTATTTCCAGTGGTAAGTATCCAGTTACAGAAATAAAATTAATTGTGTTACTAATTATCATACATTATTTTTAACATACTAAGAACAGGCTTAGGCCGGCAATTTATTTTAAAAGCACTTAAAATATGCGTTTGTGGAATATATGTGTACTGTGTAGGTATATATAATTTATACGTGGCTAAATATTAATTTTTCAGACTTCTAATTTATTCACCGGGCTAACTGGATCAGTAGAAAAACTAAGATTAATAATGCATGGAACTAAAAAAAATCCTTACAATTAACAGACAAATTCGGATAATTTTAAATAATTTTAAATGTCTAATGTACATTATAATATTATTATGCTATATATTTTAGTGAAAATATTATTCAAGTTTACAATGTTTAAAGTAAATCTAATGAATACGTTATTTGTGTTATGATATTTGTCTGGACATATATCGCTGTATTTTCATTTACGCTGTCAAGAACGATAGGCATTTCAAATTATAATATATAATGTATAATATCTATTATAATATTCATGTCTAAAGTTTTTTTCGTACTATAATATGTAAAATAAATTGTTGTAACGTATTGGGTTTTATTTTTATATTATTATTTTATTGTCATAAACAGTGTACCTATTTTTGATTTGAAACACACCAAATTGAAGTTTTGTAACAATTTTTATAACTTTTACTCCCAAAGGCCGCCGCTGCTGAGGGTAACTTTAAATTAAAAAAATAAAAAATAATACCGTTTAATAAAACATCAGTTCAATAATAAACATTTTGAAACTATACGATGGTTTCTACATTATTAAACAACGGTATAAAATAACATTATTTTGTATAATGTTGTGTTGGTGTATCATAATTTATAATAATAAACTGAAACGGTGCACCGCGTGTCGGCGGACCGCTTCGTGTAATAATATAAACTCGGCAGTTTAATTTATTGTAATCGCATTACATATTTTATTGATCTGTGTGAATGTATATAAATTGTATACAAGTTTCGTGGATAAGGTGGACCGACAATGGTTCTTGCATGCTGTTGTTGACGTGACTGCAAGCCCAGTGCACAAGACGTTTTTTCAGGTACAGCAAGACATTGTTTTACCCTCCCAACCACCACCCACCCACCAATACACACTATATATAGTCTTATAAACAGTGTAAATTAAATTGTTTGTATTAATCATATAACTATATCCATCTTGATTGTCTTGTTATAATAAAGTACCGAGTACTAATCACAGACAGACAAACTGTACATCATACTTCTATAATAATATTCCGTATACCTATTACCTGGTGAGGTATCAATTTATTCCATTCAGTTAATAAAGTACTCGTATTATAATGTTTTACTCCGGCGTGGACACCCAGCCCCACAAAACTTTTACGCGTTGACCGCCGGTAGTTTGTAATTTTCAAATCTTTTACTTTTGTGACCACCGGTAACCGTAAATTAATTAAATGGTTTTATATTATTAACTTTTTCATGGCTCTACAGTAATGCACTAAAAAATCGCCTTGGCATAGCGGAAATCATTACAATTGTTTTGATGTAATAAACATATTTTTTAATCTTTTTTTATGTTTAGTAACTTTTTTTTCAAATACAATATAATATATAGTATATCCAAATATCGAATGACACTGAAAAATATACTTGGCGTACCGATGGTACATATCGCGTTACCGACAGCGGTACACCTTGTATAGTTGTATATGGGCTGGGCGCCACTGCTTGACTCTATCTCACAATGAGTGGTGTCCAATATGTAGCCTATAACATACAATTCGGGCACCTCGCTCATTTTGTGAGATAGGACCTCGTAAGGTTGCCAGCCTCACAAAGTGGCGTGCGGAAGAGTGAATCGTGTTAGCTCTGAAATGGGTCGTTTTATTGTCGTTCACACGCCGCCGTGGTCTTTTGCTTTGTTCAGAGCAGTCTGAGTTCTGTCGTGCTGATGTACGATGGTACTTGGCTGATAGTTTTAGCCGGTTCGTGGAATGCGCTTATAAAATTAGCTAACTCAATCATAATAAGAAGTTACATTTTTTAAATATCTACTGTTTTCGATTACATTTTTTTTCTCCAACGCAATTATGCGAGAATAATTTCGTTTCAAAATCATATTCCAATCAGTTTTTTTCCTATATACTGCTCATTTTTTTCTACGCCCCAGAAAAATGGCTAAATATATAGGTAATATTTTATATAAATGAGCTTATAATGAAATATTTTAAACACCGCATACTGCAGAATAGCATTTACCTATAATACATAGTATTATAGCATTATATATCGCATATGTACCTATATAGGTGAATAAATAATAAATATTAACTTATTTTTTTACATCGAATATCAATAAGTATAATGGAATAATATAATAACATAGGTATTGTGTTCAGTCAATACAAAATACGATTTGTACGATAAAATAATTTTTATTTTTTTAATCGATTCTTACGTAGACAAAAAAACCACGTATAAGTACTAACTAATAAGTATATTATTCCATACAAATGCATATATATGTTTTTTATGTATTATCATGGCCCATGGGAGTAAAACAAAACCTTTGGAGTCACGAATGAGCTAATGCATATCGCATGGTGAGTATATTTGTACAGTAGATACACATACACACAAACACCCACCCACACACACACACACACTCTCAAATATATATAACAACTTATAACTAAATACATGTATAATAGTTGTGGTAGCCGGGAGGTACACCTTTCAAGTCAAATTCCCTAGTATCAGTGCAAATACTTCATAATATAGGATTTGTATTGGCTGAAAATGTTTTGTGAACAACCCTTTAATATTTCTAATTCAATATCAAAAGGAATTTGTTTAACCGTATTGGCATATCAATAAGTATAGGTGAATAATATTATAATGTTATATAATAACATGTCATGTGTGTACACCATAATATAATATATAATATTGGAATGGACGATACAATATTATGATAAAATTATGTTTTGATCGAGTTAAGCCGAGCCGTCGTTTCATTAGCGATATGGAAAGGGGTAATATTTTTTCAAATTATATTGACGATTATGTATACCTGTATTAATTACATTAAACCGACTTGTACGCCGCGCAGGTCTACTTTAGTGTGTCGACGTCGCTGCAGTCGTGCAGAACGTAACTCGATAGCGAAAGGACCCGATTAAAGTGTTTTAACAACCGATCGCCCACGCCAAACCGTCGATGGTAATGGGCACCGACGTCGTATAATAAAATATTGTCCTCGGACAAATCGCGTACGACTTATAACTTACACAGTTACACGTAGAGTTTACGCCGGATTGATCGGTAAGAGTTTCTACGGAGTGGTATCAACTAACGTCAGCTATATCGTCGTATATCCTATTCGTAGCTGTTATGGGTTTGCACGTGGAAAGTGTAAATCAAACGAATTTCGTCGCGATCATAATATATAAGCCTACCCCGTGGGATTCCCGTTGGACTTCTATCGACGGTGAACGGAAAAGTTTATTTGACTATATCAATATAAATACGACCCAACTTTGGACATATTATTGTAATGTTAGTTCTTTCTGCACGAATAAAACACATCACTTCGTGTACCTAGTTTATATGTGGTTAGTGTACTGTGCACATCACGCGCAGTTAGTTCCGGTTTCTTGACCAGCTCCCAGAATAAACCTCCCCAAGGGCTCGCTGCTGAGTCCCTCTGTGATATAATAGTACGTATTATTCGTTGATAAACGAAAAAAATATGACCCCGTCCCCCTTTTCTTTTGCCAATTGTAAGTAATGTTGTATGCCTAGATAATTAACATTTAATTAGAATGCAGTTATTGTCTCTATAGTCTATTGTTGTAAAACTTATAAAATATAAATTTTCAGTAGAAGGTATATTAAATTATAACTATAATTATTGGTATTATTTTGTATGCTATAAGTACAGACAGTACAGTAATTTATAGGATAATAATATTATATTATAATCTATACCATCCTATAATACCTATATTATGTATGACTTGTATTTAAATGAAACTGTCTTGTGAAATTGATATTATTGTTAATAATTATAGTTAGTATCTATATATATACTATCTGCATATTATTCTTCAAACTAATGAAACAAATAGGTGTACTTTGTCTTTATTTGCTTTAGAAATAAAGAAAACTATATTGTATTATTTGAATTAAGCCAAATATTTAACTGAAATTGTAAAAATTTAAATCATAAAATATAAGCAGATTAGAGAGTTACAATATCGTTTGAAAGAATGTATACAGGAATTGCAATTTAAAACTAGAAATAAGTACATTATTGTAAAACCAATGTTTTCTCTCCAACCTTAGAATTTAAAATAAAGTAGATAAAAAAAATATACCGCATTTTTCCAGAATTTTTTAGGTCAGAAACAAAAGGTTTATCAGTTTGTGTTTTGCATTTAACTTAAGTAGGTATGCAATGATAAATGTTTTATGTTTTGTTTAGTTTTAAAATTTAATTTATATAATAGTTCTCAAGAATATCTGTATGACGTCTTTATTCATTTTTTTTTTTTAATTTTTAAAGTAGTTAAATTAATATCGTTATTATTATAGTAGTATAACGTCGGTATTTGTTATTCTGCAAAGTTATATGGCCACTTATTGATTAATCAATACACAAACTTATAAAAGTCATACATTTATAGAAAGTAATATAAACTAATTAATTGTTTTAATATGTATTACTTATAGGATTACTGGAGACGTGCGAGTAGAAAACAGGTTTAAAAAAAAAATAACATTAAATACTCATTATTTTATTGCTGGGGTTTTCAAAACATAAATTTAATTTCTTTTATATATTTACCAGAATGAGAGTTTAAGTAGGTTATAGACATATATTTCTGTCAAGGGCTGATCTAGGCTGCAGCTCTCCTAGATAATGAGTTAATAATCACATTAGAGTATTTTTTTATTTCTATAAATGCTTTTAATTTTTAATATATCGGCCTAGTGCTGTAAGATTGAAAATTTTCATGAAATTTTCAGCATCATTGAAAATTTTCAACAACTGCAATTTTTCAATTTATTTCCAATTTTTCAATTTTTAATAAGATTATAAAATGTGTAATTGTACATGTGTATTAATAATAACGATAGTGATACAAAGTCCACTAATTGTTTCATTTTTCCACTAATTAGTTTTTAACCGCCACGTGGAAGGGCGCTAAGCGCCTGCTACTGTGTGGTTGTTGCCGAATAACTTGTGACCCGCAGTGTAGTACCCCCC